TATTTTTAATATCCTTTATATAAGGATGACAACATAATGCATTTTCTATGAATTTATTGAATAAAGGATAAGGAAATCTATTTACAAATTATATACAAACGGAGCAGAGGCTCCGGGACACATCTTTACCATTTCATTTCCAAAATATAAGTGTACCTTCTTTAACGTAACATATGTTCATGTCATGTGATCTATATAACCCAGATGTTAGAGCCGGTGTCTGGAAGATCTTAAGACCAGATGGAGATGAACTAGTATCTCAACAGTCTTGATTTTCATGGGAATTTGGTTTCTTTGAGATATTTTATTGCGCGGGTGGATTCATTTTACAAATAAAGATTTCATCGCTATTCAACGGGACTAAATGTATACGCGAAGAGCCAAGTTAAGTATGTGAAAGAGAAATTTAATGTTCTCAGAGACCAGATAAGCTTATCTGCAGATAGATATAATTCTGTTTGAGTTTAGTCTCAAAAGATCCTTTTAATTTTATTAAGCTAGTATTTTAGATACTACATATATATCCGTTGTTGAACAGCAGATCCAGATTTGGGGTTTAAGACTACTAATGTTCAACTCCGTAGCCTTGTCATTTTGAACCAATCCAGAAGACAAGGACATTCTAGGATCAATACTGCCAGATTTATTGATTTGTTATGGGAACATGGAGGACTTTGGTACTCGACAGATTTAACGTGCATCAGTCATAATTTAATACACGGGGAATCTTCGGCCGGCGGGGATTGAACCCACGAACTCTTTGACTTGGGTCCAGTGTCTTACCAACCAGGCTATCCCGGCCTACAATGGGATATTGGCGACGGTCTTGGAAACATCCCTGAGGATGATCCGAAGACATGCCATCACAATTTTGATACACACAATTTCGATTTACTGCTGTCGTTGGCCATTGAGGCAGGGGGGGTTGTTCACGTTTTCCAGGGCGGAACAAGAATTCGACTTCTGCCACTCCCATACGCCGCATCCGTTTATAAGGCATTCCTGTTCTCACATCCATTAATTCATCCACACATCGTAATTCTGACCTGAAACAGAGAACAATCTCCGATTCAGCACCCCCAGAGGTTTAATTTGTTATGGGAACATAGAGGACTTTGTGACCCTACAGATTTAACTTGTTCCAGTCACCATTTATTACACGGATAGTCTTCGGTCGGCTGGATTTCAACTTCTCTTTCTCACGAACCAACCAAGTCCAATGTCCTGCCAACCAAGGCTATCGCTGTCCAGTACAAATTATATACACCAATCTAACTTCGAAAAAACTGATAAGCAATTTACATTCCCAACAGTATAGCGCAGAAAACTAGATACAACATATTATAATGTTTTATTATTCAATCTCTCAGTTAATGTTAATTTCACTTTTTGTTTTTGTTATTGTTGTTAATTTACGTCACACTAGAGCTGCACAATGGGCTATTGGCGACGGTCTTATGGCGACGGAAAATTAAGTAAAATATTATATAGTCAAAAATGTAATTATATCTGACCCAGTATAGTACACTATACTAAAAGCTGTGGTAGTTAAATATGCAAAAGAAAGATATATGTTGTTGTTGGAAGTCCTCTTTCTTGAGAAATCAGTTTGTGTAGTAAGTTATAGAAATGAGCGACATGAATTGATGCATCTAGGACAGACATTTATTGCGAAAATCGATGTAAATGCTGACAGAATTCGGGCTTTCAGTTAAAATTCTATCACACAACCGTTCATCAAATTGTGAGCAATATGAATTGAATTTGAACTACGATAATGCATAAAAAACTAATATCAAGAAGAGCAAAGCTTCTTGTTACTTAGCGATGGTTATAGATGTGTGTTTAGCTAATAAACACATTCCAGTAGCTAACAATCTTATCAGCATAGTTAAGCTTGTTTTTCAATGTTATTAGATAAGGAAATAATGTATTAAGAAGTTGTTGTTGTTCATTTACGTCGCACTAGAGCTGCACAATGGGCTATTGGCGACGGTCTGGGAAACATCACTGAGGATGGTCCGAAGACATGCCATCACAATTTTGATCCTCTGCGGGGGGATGGCACCCCCGCTTCGGTAGCCCGACGACCTGTGCGCGAAGTCGAGGACTTTACGGTAGCACAGTTTAACGAGGACCAATACCACACACCCTCGGTCCCTACGTAGACTGATCCAAGTGGTCACCCTCCCGCACACTGACCGCAGCCAGTGATGCTTGATTTCGGTGATCTGCTGGGAACCGTGTCTTAATGATCAGTCCACTGCGGGACTTCACTTTTTGAAAACTTCGTCATAAAACTTTTTAAGCGAATTAAAAACCTTTGCAAACAATTATAAAATTTGGTTACACAAAACTTTAACATTTCAAGTGAAAATAATTTTGAATGCGTTTTTATTATTATTTTACATGACAATAATCGAATAATTTTGAATTTTAAATTACAAGTTTTTTTGCATCATTTTTAGCGAATTACAGTCGAACTCGTTTATAACGAGCACAAAGGGACCGTAACATTGTACTCGTTAAATCCGAGTGCTCGTAATAAACGGATCCTTAAGGCAGGCGTGCAACCAGAAGAGGGAGGGGGGCTTGGGAGGTCAAATGATTGAGTTTACTTAAAATTTAATTAATACTTACTTACTTTAATTACATTAATTAATTTAATTAAATACTTTTCTTAATTTAATGACAACTAACCCCCTTCCCTCGCATTTCTTTATCATTTTGAAAAAAAGATAAGACAGAAAGACTAGAAAGATGAGAAAAAAGATTACAAGACGGAAAAATATTGCTCGCTAAAACCGGGTCTTGCTCGTTAAAAGCGACTTCTGTTCCATAGACTTAACATTGATCCAACCAAATATTCTCATTTCCCTCAGTAAATCCGAGTTCTCGTTAAATCCGAGCTCGTTATAAACGAGTTCGACTGTAATTTTAAACGACAAAATCCAAAATTTGAAAGAAATGGGTCGATAATAATTCTTGAGATACTTAAAAATTTACGAAAACGGCAGCTTGGAAATTTATTTTTAACTTGTCATAATTATTCCAATATTGGCGATCGAAATGGGCTGCAGATGGCGTAGAGCAGAGCTCTTTACCTATGGCAACACTTCACATGCTTTCCCCATTAGCGTGCGGAAAGTCATAGAGGAAGGAAGTACGTTAGTTTCTTTCTTGATTTTCATATAGATTAATGTTGGAAAACTATATGGAACTTCAAACTACATTAAACATAGTTCTAAAGAAAAGTATTACGCGAATTTTAAAAAATAGTTTTATTTAATAAAAAGGAAAAATATTCAGAAAAGGGAAAATATCGTAGTACATTCCAATACAACTAAAAAGAGGAGGAGAGGGAAGGGCTAAAGGCATGAAAACGGTCTCTCCCCAGATGGCGTATTCGAGTGTTGCGATCGCGAATTCTGAAGTGCGATTTCTACAATGCAGTACTGAAAAAAGTCGCGAAGATATATCTAAAAAAAAATCGTAAAGATGATTTTTTTAGCACTGTACTGTAGAAATTTTCCATATTAATTTGAGAATTTTTAGCATTCAGATAATTATAAAACATTTCAGAAAATTATGCAATTGCGTATAACAATATTTTTTTTAGTAATACATGCACAAATGCCTTATTTAAATTTGAGAATTTTTTTTGACATTCAAATATTCAAAAGGTAAAGAGTTTTTTTGTTTATCAACAAAGAAATTTCCAGTAAGAGAATGCCGTCATTTACACGAAAATTCTTCAAAGTAATGGTTTTTGAATAATAGAGTGCAGGTCATGAATGACCTGTCCTTTCTCCTGACCTCAATCTGCAAGAAAACATGAAATGCTACCCTCAGTAAGGCTATATGGATGGTTAACTGAATATAAACAATAACCATCTTCCTAAAACCAAAAAAAAAAAAACATTAGATAACTTCCTGTGTATCACTCAGTTTATGTTAAGCTTTCGAGGCGATGTGTTAACAGGCTTAATATTCTTCTAACCTATAAATTTCAAACTCCGCCCAAACTCAGAATTTAATGTATCCAGCAATTGTACCGAAGGATTTTTTTATATACCAATTAGTGGGCCCACAATCTGNGGAGGGTGAGCACTTTGATCAGTCTGCGTAAGGACAGGGCCCGACTTAGAGTAATTGGGGCCCCCTCTGCTTCTCTTCCTTATTAATGAAGGTATTTAAAATGAAGGAATTTAAAGGTATTTAATTTTGATGTATTTAAATTTTTCACCCCTTAAAAGATAACAAGAAAATTGACTAGAACCTAAAATAGCTATGAAGTCCCTCCCCTCCAATGGTCCATTTTATTGATTTTCTGATAATTCTATGTGCATCATGCCGATTACAGTTTTCTGATTGTTAACTTAGCCATCTAGCAGCGAAAAATTCATATCCTTGTTGACACTAGGGCTAAATTTACGCAATTACGACGACTCAATTAAGCCCGTCAGATGTCTGTATTTTTGTAAAAATATCGCATCTTGTTATATGTAGAAATACAGGCTTTTGATTGACATAATTTGTCAATGGTAATTGCGAAAATTTAGCTGTTCATTCAGTTGTGCATTCCTATACCATTAGTAGTACATTCATATACAATTGAAACGAAGCGAAGAGGGAAGGGAAAAGGGCCAAACACATGAAACTGGTCTCTCCCCAGATGGCGTATTCGAGCGTTGCGATCGCCACGCCAATATCGATATCTCCTCGATTTTGGCGGTAAATCCGAGTTGCAAGCTACGTTTGTTGGTAAACGAAAACAAATCTCGATATCCAAACCTACTCGACTTCTCGCTAGAAAGTTTGCAACCGTTTACTACATAGTTTATTGTGAGAGGCAATATTTTCAGAAATAATTTTGTTAGTATAAATAAATAATATAATTTCTAAACTCATGTCTGCTGCATTTCATAAGATTTTAGTGATAATAAGTTATTTTTATGAGTTTGAAGAGAAAATTTGTTTTAGTCAATTATTGATATGTTAAAAAAGGCTATATGGCTACTGTATTTAGAAAGAACTTTATTCTTTAGCTTCTTAAAGCTATTTAAAACTATTTGTTTTATATAACTAAAGCTATATAAAACTAAAGCTATTTAAAACTTAAAGCTATTTAAAACTATCTTCTTTAGCTATTTAAAACTATTTGTTTTTGTTGCAAGCATACGCTAGTGTTAGTATTTAAAGTAGTGAGATGTATATTTTGTAATAGATGTAATAAGTGGTTTATAATGATTTTTATTCTAATATTAATTTTAAGTTTTTCTTACATTTTTAACCACATGTTTACTATCTTTCTACCAATTTATGTTCAATATTATATAACTGCAAATAATGTATGTGATTCATATTATTAAGTCATTTGAAAACTGTTAATGAGTTTTGTCCTTAACATCTAATAGGTATGACATTTTTGATGTAATTGATATCTCTTAATTTTTACTTGGAGAAATTGACTAAGACAGCCTTGGCTAGTAAAATGTTGTTGTGCTGAGAAAGAACAAGAATAGATGTCTCCAGCCAAGTCATTGTCTGTTTACGAGAGTTGTCCGTTTATGGGAAGGGTACCTTAATGACAAAGTTTAACACTGTAAATTGTTTTTAGAATATTTTCTATAATATAGATATAATTAAATAATCTCCAAGAATATTTAATTTAACTTTAAAGAATATTTTTTTTCTATATAAGACGAATATATGAAAGTATGATGTAAATACATAATTCTAGATGTAGCTACAGATAAATGAATATTATTTTCCTTTTAACACAGATATTCAAGTTAGTCATATGATACCAAATGGGAGCTTTTAGTCCTCAGTCTGTTTCAGTTATTAGGTTTACATCTCCCATCACTTGATAGGAAACATGGTTAATACCTTTTTGAAAGTAAACCTCTCGTGATACGCAGAAAACAAAAGGAATCAATGCTTACCTGTAAAGTAGGAGAACTAATTAATTTTCTAACAGGCAAGGGTCTGTCCACACATTTTGTTAAAGGTCCTGTTTTTGTAAAATTGTGAAAAAATTACTTGTAATTTGTGACTATCAAATAAACGTTGAGTCATATTCTTTCAACCAGGGTCCTGCTTTTGTGAATTTGTGCAAATAGAGTCCTGTTATTGCAAAAAAACTTTTTCAATGAGTTTTTTAATTGTAAATAGACACAAGATATGCACAGCATTGTAAAATTATAATTTAAAAAAATTAAATTTTCAAAAATAAATAGCAATTACTGCAATTAAATTAGAGATGTAACATGCAAATATTTGGTATTTAGCCTATACTGCAGAATGCAGAATATTCGTTTTGGACGAATAAAGAAAGAAGCATCTGCCGAAGACTAAACTTGGTTGGTTTACATTGTCTTTCTTCCCCCCTCTCCCGAGAAGGGTTTATTTGATTAACAAAACAATAGAGAAGTTGAGGAAATAGAAAATAACGTTTCATAGGGCAAAGATGACTGTCTGCGTCCGGTTTATGGATGTGTCCATTTCACGGAGAATGTACCTAATGATGTCCGTATTGAGAGGCTTCCGTTTCGCTGGTGTGTCCATAGCAGAAGTTTCGCTGTATTTCTATTTTTCTTAATAAAGTTATAGAGTAAAGGGTATTCATTTAAGAAATATATTCTTCTCGACATGCGTTTGATTACATTCTTTATATTTTATACTCATAAATAAAATATTTATATTTTGAATAGTGTGATAAGTACTGCTCTTTCAAATCTCATGAAAGATGGCTTTGATGTTAAAGCTCTTCAAGCATTCCGTGTTCTTCGTCCTCTGAGGCTTGTATCGGTGGTGCCAAGTAAGTTCATTCACAAATCCTAATTAGTTTTCCTTCTATGTGCTTTAAATTTAAAGCAAGATTTATTTGATAACAATAAATTAACCGCTTACCTTACCAATTTTTTTAAAGAAAAAAAAATGCAAAAAGTCAACATATATTTTTATTATATTAAGAAATACAAAGTATACATAATACACAAGTTCTAAGTTGAAATTTTAATTTTTTTATGTATAAAAATATTTAATTTACCATAAGTTTACTATCCTAAATTATCATGGGCAAATGAAAAAAGTTATATATTAGTCTTTGTATATGTTTACATCTTCATCATCTAAAAAATCACCTGAATTACTTTTACTTTCGCTCCTGAACGCCAATTTTTTACTCTTTTTTTTTTGTATGCAATTTCATCAACCATCGTACATTCAATTGTACGAAGAAACACATCTGCAGTCCCACAAATAGTCTTACAACTCCTAAATAAAAATTAACAAACTTCCTATCACAGCAGATTATTATTTTTTGTTTTGCTGTCGGCAGAATAAAAATGTGATAAAACAAAACGTACAGACGTGTTCTGCTATGCCCGAGTTTACTCCAGACAATAAATATTTGCATTGTGTACATACAGAGTTAACTCTGCGGATAAACGGAGAATTAATCTGCTGAGTTTAAATGGTGTTTATTTAGGCTAAAATGTATGCTTTCACATCTCTGTAACTCTCCTGTCACAATTTCATAAAATTCCTATCTCCCTTCAACTGGTTAGGTAGAACAGGGAAAACCTGAAATGGTCAGGGAATTTTATTATAACTTCAAAAATCAAGGAATAGTTAGGGAAAGTTGCAATTTTTTTACATTATCCTGAAATATATTCCTAAATCATGCCTGGAAAATAATCAGTCTTAAAATTGTCAGAAACAGTAATCAGTTATTGAGATTAGAAATAAATAATTTATACATCTATTACAATTATTTGTTATAACAATTTCACATTTTAGTCACACTGAAATGTTCCCTTCCTCATTAAATATTTTTTTTTTATATATAGTTTATATTATATATTTGCCATATGCTTACTTATATTATACACTTGTATTTCAATTTAACTTTGACAAGTTATATTCATCATGAGTCCAGTTATTGTTTGTATTATATACTTACTTATATTATACACTTGCGTTTAAATTTATCATGGCGAGTTATATTCATCGTCAGTCCAGCTATAGTTTATATTATATACTTTCTATTTAATTATGACAAGTTATATTCATCATTAGTTCAGCTATAGTTTATTATATTCTTGCATTTTTTATATCAGTGATTCTCAACCACTGTGCCGCGGCACTTTTGTGTGCCACCAAGTTCTAAAAATGTGCCGCCAAATATTAGAAATGATACAATAAAAATCATAATGCTTTTTTTTATTACGAGTAAAGTTTAAATTAAAGAAAAGTGTATATATATAAAGTGTTATACAAATATATACACATTTTATAATTTTTCCTTGCTTTAACCGTGTGAATATCTTTGTCGGCGTTTGTCTTGTCTCTGACAATTTAAAAAAAT